CAATTTAAAAAAGTAGATCAGAGCTAAAAAAATGCAAAAACACAGACAAATTTGCCTGTGTTGGCCTACAATCTAAGAGATAATATCTTGAAGGTTAGTTATCTGGTTCTGATAATAACAACTAAAAATAATATTTTTTTAGCTGCAATTCGGACTGCTGAGCATTCAGCAGTAGCTAATCTTAAAAAGTTGAAATAAGTAACTTTACTAAAAAAAATAGTTTGGTAATCTTCAGAATACTAAGTCCAAAATGTCTATAAAGGTTAAAAGGTGGATAACACTGTGGGTAAGATAAATCAATTGCAAGGATTTGCAATATTGTTGTAGCAAGAGAGAGGTTTTTACTATGAATCTGTTGATGTTTTTGAATATTTTCTAAATAAAATCGAATAAAAAAATTTTCTATAAAATAAATTTCTTTGAAAAAGATTAGAATTAATAAGTAATAAAATAATAAAATAAAATAATAAAAATCAAGAGAATAAATCTAAAATAATAGTGCTAGTAAGTAAAGAATTCAAATAATCAATTAAAAGTTTAAACAATTCAAAATATATTCATTAGCTAGTAAGTAATATTAAAAATCAAAAATTAAAATTAAGATTATTTTAAATATTAAAAATTCAAAAATAGAAGATAAAAGCATAAATTTCTTTAATTCCAAAATACAAATGTAAAATACAAAATAATTTAATTTAATTTGAGTTAGTAGAGGTATACCTAAAATAATAATTTCAAAATTTTAAAATGCTTTTTCACAATTGCTGCTTCTAAAATAAAAATCTTTTTTAAAGAAAGAATTGCTTCCTAAAGTAATTTCTTAGAGAAAGGTTTTTGTTTCTTTCCTGAGATAAATTTTTATATTTCTATTAGAAGGTACCAAAATGTTACAATATTGTAGCCTTCTTGATACAATACAACTAAGTAACAAAATCACCTGATATAGTGATTGACTATTGCAAATATATACAGAGTTAAGGTGTAGTAGTTCACTTTATTCATAGTAGCAAACAAATAGTTTAAGATAGTAACAGTATATAGATTAACTTTTATTAAATAAACACATAGTGACAATCTTGCTTGTAGAAATTATTCTAAAGGGGAAATATCACTTTTATAAGTTAGAGTTAAGTAAAAAAGAACAAAAAGCTTTTATAGAGAACTTTAAAAGAAGAAAGATTAGCAAGCAGATTCAAATCATCAAAGGTCTAATATAAGAAAAAGCCAAAAAGATAATATAAGATATTATACAATCTTTAAAAAAAACCAAGAACTTTATAATGATATTCACAAATGCAACATAAAATAAGTTTTTTGAAAATATATAGAAAAAATATTGTAATATTATTGCCAATTGAGAAAAATTAGTAGAAATTAATATCACAATTAAAAAAAAAGAAAATAACAAAAAATAAAATCTCTTAAACAAAGAAATATGAAAAAAAAGACTACAAATATAAATAAACAAAACTAAGTTATAAGAGAAAAAAAAAGAGAAACAAAGTTCAAATTCAGAAAACATAACTCGATTCAGTTTTTAGTTTTGTAAATAAAAACATAAGACTCTTTTTTCAGGTTCTTACTGGCTAGTTTGATATAGTTCTGGGCCAGAAATAATCCTTTAGCCTATGTGACAGACTGCTTCTGGGCATTCACAGAAGTAGTTAGAGAATATTGAACCAGAATTTAAACCAACTTTATACAATATGTATACAAGAATCTTAATAAAAATGATCAGTAAGGCTGCCTAAGTTAAAAAAATATATATATATATTTCTTAAATCATAAGCTAAAACAGACAAATTTGACTTAATTTTTATATTTTTTTAGCTTTAATCTATTTTTTTGAAATAATAAAATATTTAAATAAAATTTAGTATAATAATATTTGAAAATAATGATTACTTTTTCACAGTATTTATTTTTAAATTATAAGAAAAAAAATTAGGTTACGTATAGGTTAAAAATATACAATTTTAAAAAAAAATTTTTTCAAAAAAATTTTTTTGTTTATCTATAATAAACATTTATATATTAATTTTAAATCTATAGTTTTTAATACAACTTTTTAGTTTATATTAAAGATTACAATTTTAATTATTGTAAGTTTAGTAATTTATATATAAAAATTAATACTTATCTTAAAAGCAAAAATTTTTTTTAACTTTAAAAATATATAAAATTTTAGAAAATTTGAAAAATATTTTAATAGTAAACTCTAATGTTATACAATCTTTAAACTTTAATTACTTAAAAATTTTTTAATAAAATTAAAAAAGTTTTTTAATAAAGTTTATAAAATAGGTTTTTAAAAATATTTTTTGCTTAGAAAGTATATTACTAAAATTAATTATTAAAATTTTATTATAAAAATTAATTTTAAAAAAATTAATACAATCAAATTTGTCTGTATTACAATTTAAGAGATAATAGTTAGTATATTAATAAAAATGAAAAGAGAATTATATAATTAATAATATTTTCAAATAATTATAAAGTAGAAAACCTATAAAAAAAACTAAAAAAAATAAAATAAATACTTATAGAATATAAATTATTATTGAGAGATATTCAATTAGTATATGAAAAATATATTAGAAAAAATAAAGAAGATAATCCAAAAAGGTTAAATTATTGTGTCCAAAAAATAATATTACAGGAATCTGATTTTTGTAAACAGAAATTAATTTTAAAAAAACCAATTCTTAAAAAGAAATACATATTTGAATAGTAATCTAAATTTTATTGTAAGTATAATTTTATAAAGAGATATTAAAAGTATATAAAATGAGAAATAAAAAAATTATGTAATTATAATTATACTAACTTAATACAACAACTTTCTAAGAAGGGTATGATAACCTAGTAAAGTGATCAGGTTATCAACCCTTCAAGTAGTAAGTTGGATGTTCAAATACCATTGATAGTGAAAATTTGGATAATCACCTATATAATATTCATATTATGCCAACTGTTACTAATGATTGGGTTAGAATACCTGTAATAGTAGTTACACCAGCATAACTAGTAGGTCATGGGGCATTTGTATAACAGGTCACATGATATTGTCCTTTGGAACAAGATTATAGTTACATAAAGAAATGCAAATCAGTAATTAAGCAATGCAAATACTAGATAAGTCCTTGTGGCTGTATAAATCTATTAAAATTGGATAACAAGAAGTTCATTTGGAAAGACCTGAATAAAGAGATAATTAGATTTTTGATAACCCTACTGTAAAGGCTAACTTTATGAAACAGATACCAAGGTCGAAGTAACTGAATAGGCAAAAACCTCTAGATAGAGAGTACCACCAACCAGGCTGCTGGATTGAGTTAGAAAAAAAGAATATTGAGTCAATCTAATATACCAATAGACCGATCGTAAGTTCTATTGAGCTATCTGGATTGGAACTTTAGTGAACTGACAGAAGTATACTAAAATATTTCGGATATGCTGTAAAGTAGATGCTGAAGTTTGTGTGAACTCTACAAGAACATAATGTTTTAATGGTTAGCTCTGACTGCAAGTGTTGGTTCTGCTATAGCAATACCTAGATCAATTGTAAAAATAAATACAGAAAACTCTACAGGTTACAGGTTCAGAAGGTTTAAAGTGAAACACCCAAACAGGGATGTTAGATACAGCAATTGGTAGGGAACCTTCAGACAGACTACTTAAATAGGTAATATAAAAAAATTATATGTATAACCAATTGTACACTCTCCTGTAATGATTCATTGAACCACAATACTGATAAGTGATTAATAAAAATCAAAAGACCAAAGAGATCATCTTAATACCAAAAAAAAAAAAACAACTTCCTAAAGCTTTAGTTGATGTTTTTGTAACAACAATTTAAAAATTTGTCTACAAGTCCTAAAGATACATGGATGCTTATGATAGAGGTTGAGAAGGGAGAATTGCTGAATAGACTGTTTGTAAATATAAGAGTTATCATTGTCTATCTAAAAAAATTGAAAACCAATTAAATATTAAAAAATAATTTTTTAATCTTGTATTTATAAAGAATATTCTTCATTATATCTAAATTTATTAGTGGTTTTGTTGTATTGAGACTGATTTAAATATAACCTTTTTTATTATACAATTAGTGTTCGTTATGTTAAATATATAAAAAAATGCATATACCGTTGTACATTCGCCGCATTATAATTTTATACTAATTCATAATACAATTTTATTGGCTACAGAAAATTGAAACATTTCACGTGATTGGCGATTATAGATTTCCGGAACCATATTTTCTCTCTTAATATAGGTAACCTCATTATAAAATCCATTATTAATCATTTATACATACCAAAAATGGTTTTTTGTATTAATTTAAATTTTCATTTTGGGGTAAGTATTACTCACACATCGGACAGTTGTTTCCTATTATGCGAAATTGACCAATAAGCATTGCACTAAATGATGCATAAATGCATATATATGACGTAAAATCATGAGGTCACAACTAAAAACAACTATATAATGATACCACTATAAAAACCGTAATAATAAATGTTTGTTCGAAGTAAAAACGTTTTGATTTTTTTTTATTTGACTATCACAACAACGGTACGTACGTATTGCTTAATAATGCTAAATTTGTCACCCGTTATTTGATTTATAAGCCAAAATAACTATTAGATAGTATTATTCCTTTTCTCGTCTCAAATTTATGATATAATAATGAGTGACGACATTAGATCTGATGTTGAAGTAAGTTTTTTTCATCTTTAGGAAAATTAAAATAATCGTTATTATTTTAACTAAACGAAATTATGTCTCGCACACTACGATATATTCAGAAAGTTATTGCTGAAAACCATGTAGTGATTTTTAGTAAAAGTTATTGTCCTTATTGTAACCGTGCTAAGCAAACCTTAGATCAACTTGGAACAAATTATGTAGCTTGGGAACTAGATAATATGGGTTTGTCTTTTAGTAAAACGTAAATATATGTTGTATGTATGTTGTTTCGTTCATAAACATTCAAAATTTTTTAGATGATGGGCCGGCAGTCCAAAATTACCTTTCTGAAAAGACTGGACAAAGAACTGTTCCAAATATCTTTATTAGGCAACAAAGCATTGGAGGTAGGAAAAGAAGTTATTCATAATTGTTTATTAATTCTCATTGATTCATTGACTAAACCTGTTTTAATTTATAAGGAAACGATAAACTTCAAGCCCTTCTTCAGGCAGGGAAACTTAAAGAATTATTAAAGCCCGCAAGAATTTAGTTTCGACGATTTTTTAAAAATGGCACTGATTCAACGTATACAGTTGTGTAATTATTGACCATTTTTAGTAATAGATTTACTTTATTTTTTGCCGAAAATGTATAAATTTATTTTTAGCCACTTGAAAAAAAATGACGAAAGAAAAATTATTTAATAAAGTAGGTTCTGTGGTATAGATCCATAAATGATGTTCCACAATTGTTTTTGAGTTACATAATGCACACGCGCTTCTTGAATAATTCATGCAATAAAACATACCGATACTGTGCGATCGAGCCATAGCTAAGCCACCAAAACTCATAAGAGTGCCCCTGTGAATTCTTGATCTATTTCTTCATATTGTCGCTCGTTTCAAATATTATCTCTCCCCTCAATTAAACAAAACTTATTCTAAAAATAATGGCCACTTCAAAAACTAAAGGTTCAACCTCAACCACACCAGCAGTTTCTACGAATACAACGGTAACTGTTGGCAGTTCGGCTTCAACAAAGCATTACGGAATAAATTCTGTTGCTGGTGAACTTAGTGCAAAACGGGTCGCAAAAGGAAAAGAAGTTGTTGGAAAAGAAATTGCTGCTGTATGTCGTCAACTTGAGATCATTTACTGATTGGTTGATTTTTTTTTACTGACTCGTTCCTTTTTGTTAATTTGTTCATTTCAGCCTGATTTTAATACCTTCGATATTTCAGTATTGCGTAGATATAAACGGATTCATAAGCTAAAGGTCAAGGACTACGCATCTAAAGAGGAATTAGTTAGCGCTGTTTCTCGCCATTACGCATCTCAAGCTCCTAAAGAGGTCGATGCTATTTCAAATTTTATTTATTCTGTTCATCACAAAGGTTTCTTTTACTGTTCCATTACTTGGTTTGCACGTAGTTTTACTCTATTATTGATGGTTCTTGTTTCTTCCAATAGACACACTGTTGAAGCTTCCGATTCCATGATTAACGAAAATTATCATATAATTTACTTTTTTTGCGAGAGCTCTTAATATAGATTGGATGTTACAATTTTATAGTAGACTGAGTGCATTGAAACATGATTGGTTAATTAGTGTTAGTGTTTTTTAAGTTATTCGAAACTGCACATAGATATATTTTTATAAAGCCGTTTAAAAAATTTTTTTAATAATAAAGACTACATAAAAATTTTTTATATTAGGACATACAAAATTAATTAATTGGTTTTCATAACCCAGCCGGGTCAAATTTTAAAAGCTTGTAAAAAATTTTTTTTATATGTTTTAATAACCGGGTGGATTTTTTAAAAAAATTTATAAAATTTATATGAAAATTTTTTAAAAAAAGCCGGCCGGCTGGGTCTGTCCAAAAGTTTCATGTTATGAAAACCAAGATATTAAATTTGTGTGACTTTACAAAAGTTTTTTTAAACTTTAATTTCAAAGATTTGACTCTAAAACATTTTTAAATTAAAAAAATTTCATAATCTGTTGCGATGAAGTTTTGTTGTTTTGAAATTTCAAATGCAATAAAGTATAATTTTAGATTTATGTAAACAAAATACTTTTGCAATATCATTTATTACTTTATAGATTTTTTTAGACAAATTCGTTTAGAAAATGATTAAAATTTTATTAAAAATTTATAATTAAGATTTTTTGCTTTAAGTAGTCATATTTTCTAAATTCAACTTTATATAATTATTTTTATAGTATCAAGATATAACCTGTTGCACTATTCTTACAATTATATAAACAAACTCTTGTTTAATTCTTAAGTTTATATAAAAAGAATTTTAACAAATATTATTTTTTTTTGTTTTTTTATTATTATTTTGTTAACTTTTTATTATAGTCTTTATACTTATTTGTAAAGAAAATTTATGTAGTTTATTCTTTAACTTATTTAGTATACAATTGGTTTTTTTTTTTTTTGGTTTTTTTGACAGTCTTGCCAGAACTCAAATATGATTTTATTTAATAATTATAAAAGCATGATAACATTATTATTAGAACATCATAGTCTGGCAAGTCTGATATTACCTAATATACACAATATGCAACCAAATGACTTGTCACACTGACTTGTACCCAAGTCAGGAAACTTTGCAGCTCTATCAAGAACTAACTTCTTTAATTTTTCCTATTTAAGATATTAAATAAAATACATTTCATTCATATCTAACAAAAAAAAGATAAGGGTGTGGCAACTTAGTGAAGTGGATAGGTTGTCAACCTCCAAGTGGCAGGTCTAAAGTTCAAATCCTAGTAATGGTGAAAATTTGCAATTTTTTCTGTGTTATGACTAACTGTCTTCTGTGATTGGTTGGGATAGGATACTTGTAATCTGTGTTATACCAGCCTGACTAGAAGGTCTAGGCATTTGTGCAACATTGTACAGAGGAACACAAACTGGTACCAGGCAGTGTGAACCCAAGATAAGTTCTTAGGTTGTGTAAATCATGAGAACCAGGTAGGAGGACGGAAGCCCACTTGGAAGACCCGAATAGAGAGATAACCTGAACTTTCGATGGTGCTACTGTAAAGACTAGACCTATGAAACGGAGCTAGAACTTGTGAAACCGGGCAAAGAGCTGGCCTTTAAGGAGGGGCCGAATGGAACCAACCAGGCTGTCAGAATTTCTGAGTTCCGGAGGAAAAGGTTACATGCTGACAAACATGTAAACCAAAGGTGTATGGTTACGACCTGCCTTTCCAGGCTATCTGGTTTGGAAGCTTGGTGGAACTTGA